CCTTCAAATAACACCCTGGTAGACCTTGGCTGGTACGGCAGTAAACAGGAGGAGCCCGTCCAGCAGGGCCAGAGTTAGGCTGGGCAAGACGAATAAAGGAGCAAAGGAATATGCCATCTGCCTCCAGTTGCCCCCTGGTCGCAGAGCCTGCCTTTTTCTACCCTCTAACACCTGTCTCTTATACACATCTAGATGTGTATAAGAGACAGACCCTCTAACACTAGGTCCGGCCCCTCTATGGCACTGCTGACATGACCCCCCCCCCCCCCTCCCCCCCCCCCGACCGACCAAGTGTTGGGGGCCTGCTAGTACGATATAGTGTGATCCGGCGTCCTGGATGCCCCCTGGTCGCCGAGCCTGCCTTTTTTTCTACCCTCTAACACTAGGTCCGGCCCCTCTATGGCACTGCTGGTAAGGGCCCCCCCCCCCCCCCCCCAACCCCGACCGACCAAGGGTTGGGGGCCTGCTAGTAGGATATAGTGTGATCAGGCGTCCTGGAGAAGGACAGAAGAGGTTAACTCGTTCAGAGGCTGTGCAGTCAACCCCCCCACTCCTCTGGGGTAGTCAATGCTGGCAGCCAGGTCTGCATTCTTGTCCAAATCTCCGAATATACTGTATTGGGATGCTGCACCTGGTTTCCAGTAGGTGTACCTGGCCACCAATAGAATGGAGCACCCAGAGCAGCTACTAGGGGAGGCTGCCTGTATCACCCCCCCTAGTAACATGCCCTAAAAAAAAAAAAAAGGAAAAAGAAACAAGAAGGATACCGTTTGCAGCAGCGTTCAGCTTTTAGTGCTTTATTTGCTCCTAGGGGGACTCACGGACATTACGCACTCATGAATCACTTAGACCCAGCGCACAGGGACAAGGTCCAACATGCGAGGAGTTTTTTTGTTTCTGGCTGTTGATCTTTGTCATCTACGGTCATGTCCGGAAATGGAGAATGATCCAGGAAAGTGGGACCTTGGCCCGGGTCTGAATATCTCACAGAAGAAGGGTTAAAAAAGAAAAAAAAAGACGACACCGGTGTGGTCCTGTCCCAAGTGGAGGAGATTACCACCGGATGGCTTTTGGATTCCTGCCGCATCAAATTGTACGGCTTAGTTTACTGGCACCGTTAGGGGCGTGTTTCATTTTTAAAAAAAATAAAAAATAAAACGGCTTAGTTTACTGGACGGCTCTTCTGGTCCCTTCAGGGCAGAAACACTCACTGGAAGCAGCCTGCTCCTGTCAATAGGGCCCTACTACAGAAGGGCTTCCTTTGTAAGTGGCCTGGGGTAGAGTACGTTCTAGCTGTAGATGACAGCACATTGCTGAGCTGATATTCAAATTTGACAAACAGTTTACAGACCCCATAAATACTTGGGGAGGCTGCTTATATCGCCCCTCCCCTAGTAAGCTAGAACAGGCCTTAAAAAAAAAAAAAAAAAAAAAAAAAAAAAAAAAAAAAAGGGGGGGGGGGGGGGGGGGGGGGGGGGGGGGAGGACCATGACACCCCGGCCCACCTGAGTGTGAGTGTGTGTTTAGTCGCTTGGGCCCAAAGAAGAATCTCAGAACAGGGGAAATCCCCCAAGAGCCTAGCTCAGTGGGTGTACACCCATGAACTGCTGAAATGCAGATCCGAGTTCGAATCAAGTTGAAGGAACATGGTGAGTAAAACCACCTATTTCTGAATTGCCTGGGGCCGGTCAGCTCAATGATGATATCTCAAGGCCAAAAAGAAATCCAGAAAAAACGTGAAAAAAAAAGAGAAGAAAACGTGAATTGCCGCTCTCATAGGATTTCCCGGGTTGTGAAAATGAGATCATCGTCGGTCCCCCCGAGTGGCATTGAGCAGAGACTGCTGATGTTCATAGGGGGAGGGGACCGGAGGGGAGGCACAGTGACTGGCCCATCAAAGAAGCTCGGTCCTGATGCTACCGGCTGACCCCTGGCCGGTATCGCCCACCTGCTGTAGCAGGTATCGCACCTGCTGGTGGGTGCAGCTCCCGCATGTTCCCTCGATGGAGGCTTGAGGGCGGATGTGGCTGCTACGGGGTTCCCTGTAATACTATAATGACAATAAAAAAGGCCTGAAAGGCCGTCCTGTCCAGATTTGACAGGTAATTGAATTGGTTGGGCTTAAAGAATTAGCCTTTGAAAAAAAAAAAAAAGAGATCATCTCTACCATCATGATAGCGCTATAAGGTGCATCCAACTTCGAAAAAAAAAAAGGAAAGAAAAAGAAAGGTGCCTAGCCTGCGTGCAACTGATGGTATGTAACAGCTGTCTTGGGGGGAGTCAGAGCTGTGCAGCCCAGACGCTTCTGTCCAGGTAGTCCAGACAAGTTGCAAAATAAAAGATATGTGGACAGTTTATGGGTGTGTTCCAACTGAGCTAGGCCCGTTGATACTCCGGACTAGTTGGAAAAGACCCAAGCCAAAGTTTTTACATGGATGGGTTATTAGGGGCTGATCCGACCTCTCTTTTTTTTTGGGAAGAACCAAAAAGAACCGGCTTGGGCGGGCCCGCCCCTTGAGGAAAGGAAAAGTGATTTTGGATCCCACTTGGGCGACAATGGCGGGACTTTCATGATTTTGGCGGCGTCCCAAGGGGAAAGGAACGTGCTGTCACACAGAGGAGAGGACAGCGTAGCCCACCGGATATTGAAAAGAAAAGAAAAAATGCCGGCCTTCTTTTTAGGAGCAGGGACGGTGCTGGCTTCTACCGATTTTGGCAAGTTCTTTTTCGCCAAGGGTCGCGGAACACCTGCCACGTACACGTTTGTTTTCACTCGCTGCCGAACTCGACGGGGAGACCTACAAACTCGGAAAGTAGTCGGATCCCGTGAAAACCAGTAGACTACGCTCCGTAGCAGTAGTCGGATCAGACCCTTAGCATGGTACTTAGGGTTCATCAAGTGGAGCTCTACGTTCAAGCATATTCATAGAAAGAGGTTATGGGCTGCATTGAAGGGTCTGAAGGTGTACAAAAGTGGGTTTAGAAAAGGGGGCCCAGTTCAGTGCAAAACAATGCGGACTTTTTTTTTTTTCTTTTTTTTTTTTCTTTTTGTTTGGAGGGCTGCGCCACACTCTGCTGCAGTGCGATACAGAGGCAACGCTGGAGGGGTCGAGCAGGCAAGCCTACCCATATGACCCCTCCGTAGCCCAGAAAAATTAATTAATATCGTAGTGGCCCGATGGACCACGGATCAGATATTAAACTGATCACAACAACAGATACTACACTTGATCTTAGCCAAAAGGCCGAGAAAGGTATGCGGACAATTTTCGCTTTTCCTTGTTTACTTCTTTTCTGAAATTTACTACCTCCGATCCTCTGTTTTGCCGACCGTGAATTTCCTGCACACCAATATTTGACAAGACTAGAGCGGGGACGGTTCCATTTCATATTTCTATTCTGGTACCGCTCCTCCCCCCCCAAAAAAGCATCTTGGCTGACAGATTCATGAAAGAATAATAATAATAAAAAAAAAAAACATCCCTAACACTGTGATAGTGTTGCAGTTCATTCTCGGATATACTAGTGGGAGTTAGCCCAGCTGAGGGCGCCTATCCGTAGCAAAAGCTGCAAAACAGAAAAAGACGAAGAGGGAAAAAGAACATCCCTTTCGACGTCATCTCAAACTTTCAGAATTCTATGTAAATTTCCATATGGGACTCTGGGCCCGGTTCCCAGCACGTGCTGCTCCCCACAAATAGATTGGAGTCTTGTCTCAATTAAAAAAAAAAAAAAAAAAAAAAAAAAAAAGCAGTCAGATTCGTTATTGGAAGTACTAGTGTGAGTATGGGCCTCGTTCAACACCACTTGAAAATACTTGAGTTTCAAGGAAACATCGTTCCACCGCTCCTTCCCTAATTACATCGATTTGGATGTCCGCAACGTTTCCACATTTTGCATCTCCAGGATCCGCCCTTGAAACTCAAGTGCAGACCGCCCAAGACAACAGAAATCTAGAGGGAGCCTCGGGAGGTCACTTGAGGCTCAAGGGAAGGACCCTTTGAAACGGGGAATATACAAATTTTTTTCTTTTTTGTGGGATTTTTCCACCAATCACCACTGTTCCTGGTGCAATGCTATTAGTACGTCAGTTTCAAGGGCGGCTCCGTCACGAAAACAATTTGAAAATGCACTTCAGGAAATCCCGCGAACACAACACATCCCCAAGTGACCCCACCGGACCCGAAACCTACCTTCTTCCCCCGAATACAACGGTCATTATAGCTGTACGTAAGGCATCTTTCAGTCTAGATACTGCTATAATGACCGTACGTTGTATTCGGGGGAAGAAGGTAGGTTGTGTACGTTCAACATTACCGTCCCTTTTGCCTCAAGTGCATTTTCAATCTCAAACCCTGACTGCGCCGTAGTTTTATCAAAAAAAAAAAAAGAAAAAGAAACAAAACAAATCTGAGTTTGAAAACAACAAGTGATGTAAATATTATATCTCATTACTTATCTTTGTATATTTTATGCTAAAAAATCTCTAACAGATGTGATAAGGAATCCAATTAGAATTAAGTGAAACTGAAAATGCATTTAATGCAAAGTACTATGAAACTTTGGTGAAACGTACAGGAATTAAACTTGAAACATGAAAATGTGATTCTTGTACAAATAGTTCACAAGACATTAAGGATAAGTGAATGCGAAAGACTTAGGGCGTCGCCGCACGGCACACGAAACGAAAAACGAAACGAATGCATCTTCCCCCAGAAAATGGCCTGGTTCATCGGTTTGCTACAAATAGTAACGAGTGTATTTTGCCACCTTTGGGGGGAAGATGCACTCATTTCGTTTTCGTTTCGTGTGCCGTGCGGCGAGACACTTACTCAGATGCGAGTAGGTGATCAACGAATAGGTGCGCAAGTGTGCCTACCATCATCTTAGAGCATTTAGGAAAAATGACTGTAAAAAAGAGTTCTTCCATTTGTTTATCTCCTATCCTAATATGCAGGTTTTTGGTTTCCTTTTGTGCATCTTTGTTATGGCTTTTTTAGAATGCTATCAAATCGCGAGTCTGCAAGGCGATCTCGACAGCGGAAACAAGAGCATCTTGACAGCCTTGAAGTGCAGGTATGTCGTATGGATAACATACCCCCCTGGCTCTCTTGTGGTGAAACAATCCCTTTAACATGTAGTTTTGTGTTCGTCTAAGTAAGTACATAATGCATACCAATGTTGAGCGCATGTGAATAAAACTTTAAAAAAAAACAAAAATCATTAAAAATGGTAAATTACTAGGCTACCAGCCGGGCCGCCCGGGTCAGGGGTGGCCAGCCCGTGCAAGGACCAGGGAAACTCTCAGTTAAAAAAAAAATAATAATAATAATAAAAAAAAAATGTTATGCAGAAAAATAAACTGAACAACTTTTGCCTCAGGGTCACATCGAAATTCTTCACCAAATATAGAAAAATTTAAAATATATATATATATATATATATATATATTAAATTGGCCCGGCCGGGCAAGTGACCCCGGGCACTCTGGTAGCCTAGGTAAATTATGTATACATTGCTAATGTTCTTGTAGTTTTCAAAATTCAAAAGCATGATTTTGTTAATTTCATTGGTTACATGCGTGTACTACTCAATTATCAGAAAAATATTGTAAATCAAAGTATGTTTAAGGTGAAGCGACGAAATTCATTTCCAAAAGACTTCAAAAAATATTTTTGAAATGACGACTAATTATACATTGATAGAGAAGTCATTTGATGTCAACAAAATTATGCTAAATGCATAGAATCGCCAAATACATTTCTAAATTGTAATACATGATTTTTTTTAATTTCAATCCTTGTATGAGTGGTTCAATCATTCCTTACGCTTAGTTATCCCCCAACACAGTATGCATCCACACACCCTCTCATGCATTTACTTATAATCAAGAGAAAACTACGGCGCAGTCAGGGTTTGAGTTTGAAAATGCACACTGGAGGCAGAAAAAGGGCTGGTAAACGTTTCGGGTCCGGTGGGGTCGCGTGGGCGTGGGGGTGTGTTGTATTCGTGGGATTGCCTGAAGTGCAATTACAAACTGTTATCGTGACTGCGCCGAAGTTACACTCATATTTGCAATCATGAAGTGACCCCGTGAATATTTATAATCAATCAAACCAACCAACTTGAGACAACCATGACGAATTCAGTGACACTTGTTTTTATCGCAAATTTGCAATCTTCTTTTCCATTTTCCCTTTCACCGACTGTCGGACTGTACGAGTTGAACAAGCGGTGTATGTTTCTTTCTTCCTTTCCCCCCCCCCCCGAAATTGCACTTTTATTAACAGTGCCCAGTGCCCAAGGCAATTACATCATCAGCACAATCAGCAACCAGGGACTCAGGGTTGTCCCGCCCCTCCAGGAGCTCAGAGCCCCGTCCCTGTATACACACTCGTCCCACTCTCAATCACGGCACAAGCGGTGTATGTTTCAAAAGTGCATGAAAGGTATAGTTTACTGGTGAGTGGTGGCTATGACTTGGGTACCAATTGCGTCATTGATAGAAAGCATCATTAAATAGAGCAAACTTAAGGTAAGTGTAGCATCTTCTTAATTAATTATTTATTAAACAAATTGAGTAGCGCATGAAAAAGAAAAAAGAGTAACGCTGTGAGAAATAGTGCATGGATTGCTGTTTTTTCTTTTTTTTTTTCCCCGCATATTGAACCATTCTAATCGTAAATGGTCTCTCATCCATTTTTCTTTCTTGATCCACAAACTCATTGATTGATTGAGTGAAATCTGAAAAAAAAGCATGCGTCGATCCTCAATGATTCCACTAAGTCATTTGCTAAATGAGTGTGACACTTGCTTTGATACATAGTTAAGAGGTCAACTGAGTGTTTTTTCCAAAAAAAAAAAAAAAAAAAAAAAAAAGAGGTCAACTGAGTGTTTTTTGTCCTAAGCTTATTCAGTAGTGAACTTCACTAATATGAAGGACAGTGCAGCAAATTGATTGCAGTTATTCTTAGGAGTTTACTGGACTTACAAATTGTATTTTTAGGACGAGCATTGACGAGGTGTATATGATTATCATAGAAGTGGTAGCTATTTCATAATGTCAATCTTTCTCATCGCCCGTAATTCTGTAATTGTTACAAATTTGAGTTTAATTGACTTCTTTTATTTTCTATCGACCTGGGCTACGTACCGGGACGCCCGAGTCACCTCGGTTGCCTGGGCGGCACGGCCGGGTAAGGGGCCGGAAAGGTCCCTGCAAAAAAGAGAAAAGAAAGATCCAAAAAAAAAAAAAAAAAAAGCGACGTTATCCATATCCGTTAGGCACACAAGTGGCATTCACGAGGTCGTGGGCTCCGTTCCTGCTGACCATCTGCGGCACTCTTGGTGCCAACCAACTGAGATAGTTGGCTTGCTCCCCCCATTCCGTATTGGCAGGGTCTTTGGCCATCACGGGTGTGGGTTGTGTGTGTGTGTGGGGGGGGGGTTGTGTGTGGTGTGTAGGAGAGTGCTGTCCATAGACACTGTGGTTACCTGATGGGGGCGGGGGAAGTAGGTGGGAGGCACAGCTACTGGCAAAATGCTCGGTCTTTGCGTTAGCCGCCCCTCCCCCCACTGGTGGCCGCACCCTACTCGCTGACCACCGCGGATTAAGGCGGGGGGCAACATGCATCTCCTTAATTGTGAGATGTAGCTATGCTTGCAGGGGTCCCCTGTATAAGCTTAGAAGTAGTGGTAGGTATGTAGTGAAAGGTGAAATTGAGAGAAGAAATTGAAGAATATTATCTGAATATAGCTTTTCGAAAGAAAACAAGAAAAAAACACTGGACAACTTTTAGGTAGGGTCAAATTGAAATTCCTTACAAAATCTTTTTTTTTTTTTTTCCTGATTGAGCTTCTCTTTTTTCTTTTTGTTAGGGATAATTTGCAAAATACCCCCATAAGTTGAGATATATCCCAAAATAAAAGATATGGGTAGAGCGGAATGCCCCTCTGACAATTTTATTTTTTTTGTGAAATACCCCTGACGTTGGTTGGACTCCCATCTTTGCAATATACCCCTACCGGGTATCGTCCAACTTTGCAAAATACCCCAGTACTTGCCAACTTCTCCTAGGCGCTATTGGAAAAGGCCAAGGCCCAAAAGGGGAGGTCCAGATTGCAAAGTTGCACACCCGCCTGACAGGGGCACAACACAAAGGTTTCGGTCAGAGGAAGAGAACAAGTGCAAAAAGCACTGGAACCCGTCGCGACAGGGATAACCCCGATTTGACCAGAATCATCCATAGACGATCTTCACCCATAGATATGGCAGACCAACAATACCCATCAAGACCAGCAGTTGAAAGCTTCTGAGATAAGGGGAGGAGAAGAAGAGATAAGGGGGGATGAAGAAGAGAGAAAGTTTGAGGGAGGTAGACGACGATCACACGATGTAGCGCAACGAATGAGACCTTCATCAAATAATAATGGAGCACAGAAGGCCTTCTGGCGATCGGCCCAACTTGAAAAGTTTCGGCCCAACTTGAAAAGGGCATTCCGCTCTACCCACATCTTTCAGGGGCATTTTGGCATATATATATCTCAACTTATGAGAGTATTTTGCAAATTATCCCTTTTTGAAATAAAACCAGAATGCAAGTACTAGGGGAGGTGATATCCGCATCCCCCCCGTAATAAGCGTTCCTGTTGCTCTAGTCTATTACTGGGGAGCCACAACTGCTGGAAAGCGGGTCCAGCGTCCCAATGAAATACATAGGGAAAATTTAATCATGAATGGTACTGTGAACCTTGACTGCCAGCTCAAAAATTAAAACTAAAATTAAAAGCCTCTTTTTAAGTTTTTTTTTTCTTTTTTTTTTTGGCCTGGCCAGGCAAGTGGGCCTGGGTAACTCTGGTAGCCTAGGTATCAACCGTGCTTCCGTAATTGCCCCTGGAGATAACCGACCAATTGCCATCAAATGATTCACCACTCCGGGCCATCAAATGATTCACCACTCCGGGGTCGAGGTCCCACAAGATTCACTCCCTCCTGCACACTCCCTGTCCCCTCTTACCCCTCTCCCTCATGCTAGGTTGTTCCCAAGGTGAAGAGGGGGGGGTGAGGGGAGGGGTGGGGGGGGGGTTGAGAGGGCGGAATTCTTTGGAACCTTGGCCCTGGAGGCAACAACAGGAACAGGTGCTCTCAAGTGGAGGCGACGTATCTTTCGTTTGATCCCACAACACCCCCACGACTGCAAGACTGGTTTGGAAAGGACAGAGGGGGGTGCAACCTGAAGGGGAGGGTAAACTGCCGCTAGGACTTTGTCGATGGAATCTGGCCATATTTCTCGCCAAGCACTTCCAGGCAACAACTACCCCGAGTATATGTTATTATATTCGCACTACCAGGTAGGACTCTTTTGACTGAAAAATGTGGGGATAACAGGGAGATGTTAACTATCGGGGGGTCATTTCAGGTTGGGTACAATCGGCTCACGGGCATTTCAGGCCGTCCGATGTTAACTATCTCGGGGGGTCATTCTGTCCACAGAGGCAGTTAAAGCACCAATACTACTTCCTAAAGTTGTGCCCGATAACAAGCCACAAAAATATAGAAAACGTACGGGCCACTACAGGAGCGCCCAAATTCATCCGACTAGAAACGTTTCAACGCTATTTTTTCCCGCGGCCAATGGGCGTCGTTAGGCAGTCCTCGGGGACGTGATTCCAAGGATTTTGTCTTCGTTCCACCTGTCCTCGGAGATGAAATCGGAAATGAAAATGTGAAAACACTCCGAGGACAAATCCTTGGGCTCCGAGGATTTCCCAGCCAAATCGTCCTCGGCTCCGAAGAACCTCGCGAGGTCTTTTGGGGCCCGAGGATCCATGTTTCACGAAGAGGAGAGGGCATGCACGTAGAGAGACGTTACAACCGAGAATTCGGATTGCAGCGGCACCCTATTTGCTGAAAGCCTGAAGCACAACTTTTTTTCTTTTCCTTTTTTTTTTTCCTTTTTTTATCTGACATTGCTCTGAGGATGAGTCCTAAAGCCAGTGCTCCAAGGATGAGTCTAACGAAGACGACAACACCCCTCAACTTTTCCGAGGATTCATCCTCGGAGCCCAAGGATGGA